GACCTACTGAAAAAGGATACGCCCTACAAGTGGGATACTCCCCATCAGCAAGCCATGGAGCAGTTACTGACAGCACTGACTACAGCGCAAGTACTCATCCTATCGGACCCAGACAAGGACTACGTGGTGGAAGCAGACGCTAGTGACCAGGAAGTCGGAGCAGTATTGATGCAGGATCACGGACGCGGTTTGCAGCCCATCGCCTACCTCAGTAAGAAGCTACACGGAGCAGAACTGAACTACCCCATCCATGACAAGGAAGCCTTAGCGATAGTCATAGCCTTCAAGCCATGGAGGTGTTACCTAGAGGGAGCCAAGACTACAGTCTATACTGACCACTGCAGTCTCAAATACCTGAAGTCGCAGCCGACGCTCTCACGGCGACAGGTGCGGTGGGTGGACTTCCTGGAAACTCACTTCCACTACGACATCGTCTACAAGCCCGGGCTACACAACAAGGCAGACGCGTTGAGCCGCCCCGGACATGTAGCTGGCATCCAGCTCGATGGGATGAACCCTCTGCTCAAGGGTCTATTCCAACATGGGTACTCCGTGGACGCAGAGATCGCTACAGCACAGACCAAGAAGCTGTTACAGTGGGAGAAAGACTTCGCTGTAAGGAAGGGTTCAGGAAAGATTTGGGTACCGAATTACGCCCCGCTACGGCAGATCCTCTTGGAGGAGTTTCACGACGTACCTTACGCGGGACATTTCGGGAGCAACAAAATGTTAGCAGGGATAGCGAAGTATTACTACTGGCTCGGGATGGCAACAGACGTGCAGCAGTTCGTCACCTCTTGCGACACGTGCCAGCGGATGAAGAGCAGCAAGCAGAAAATGTTAGAGACTAAGGACGGAGTCTAGAAGCTTAGGAGCCGAAATTATCACAAAATCGTTGGCTTAGAATTCTGGACAGAAACGTCGACTTCACAAGAAACGTTGTCGACAAAGGTGCACCGTTAGAATCCCACGAATTTCGAATATGTTGTAGCCCTAGACTGTGGCTACATTTCCCAATTTGAATCGTATCAAAATATGAAGTATATTACGAGTTATGCTTTTCGGCGCACTAGGGGGTATGCTGCCACAGAAATTTAACTCAATCACAATTAACTCACAAGTCCCACAAAAGAACATGAGAGTAGCACTAAACCAGGTAGGAGGGGAAGAGGAGGACGAGAGGGAAGGTCCCAAGGGAGTCCCCAACCAAGGAAACCCCATACCACACAATTCACTTCCCCATAGGCAACAAAGTTTGACCTTTGTCACTTTCCAACCCATGCCATCCACCTCACCCCAACTTGGCCACACTTGCCAACCTGGTTTGGCTTCACCCAACCTCTTGGCAGCATCTACAGTGATGGGTTCGAATTTCCCAACCCCAAAATTCTATACCCCATAATGAGTCAACCCCACAACTTCCAAAGTAGCTGCAACCAAAATATATAGGCATACGAACTCCAATGTTCGTAACTTTCTTGGTTGTGCTCCGATCGCGACGATTCTTGGTTCGTCAAAAAGCTCTTGAGTAGAGGAATCACTTCAGATATCTGCTCAAGCCAAATAGCATACACACACACACAGAAAATCCAAACCACACAAGACACAAATTTCTTGCACACGCTCACACCACGCATGCAACGCACAAACACATGATGGGAGGCAGACAGACGTGAATGCATATGGTTGCATCACACAACAAACTCCCCCTCTGGCTGCCAACCATCATCCCACATGCCATAACTCAAGCATGCACCCTCAATGCACACTCATTCCCGCAAGCTTCATGCCCTTCCAATGCTCAGGTTCTGCCAGGCGCTTGGTGAGAATGTCAGCCGCCTGCTGCTGGGTCTTCACAATCTCCAGCCGCACCTCCTTGTCCAGGAGCCTCCTTGTCCAATGCCACTTTGGCCTGATGTGCTTTGTCAAGCCATGAAGACAGGCATTCTTCGCAAGCTTCACCGCCGACTCATTGTCACAGAAAATCACAGTCGGCTCCCTCTGACACTCCGATTTCCTCCAACAAACGCCTCAGCCACACCACCTCCTTTGCCCCATGATGCAGGGCCATGTACTCTGTCTCACACGAGGACTGCCCCACCTCGTTCTGCTTCTTGCTGCGCCAGCTCACTGCACCACCTCCAAACAGGCACACATAGCCTCCAATGCTGGTGCCATCCGCCTTCACAGAGTTGAAGCTGGCGTCGGTGTAGCAGGTCAGGAGCATCTCCCTCTTGCCCAAATCAGCTGCACCCCTCTGCAGCCTCTGTCGCACAGCACTGTACTCCAAGCCCACTGATGCTGTAGCGCTCACATAGCGGACCAACCTCTTGGCCGCTTCCAGCTGCTCATGACTTGGGCATGAAACCACACTCGCAAGCCTGGATGTAGCAAAGGCAATGTCAGGCCGCGTGTGGTTAGCCGCATAGTTGAGTGCCCCCACCATGGAGTGAAACAACTTCCTGTCACTCTCCCCCACCACCTCCTCATCAGCACAGGGCTCCACAGTGAACCCCGAAGGCAGTGGGGTGGCTGGCTTTCCTGCATCTTGCAGCCCATACTTCTCAGCCAGCCCCTCACAATACTTCCTCTGGTGCAACCTCAACACTCCCTTGTCAAGGTCCCTCTCCACATGCATCCCAAGGTAGTACTTCACATCTCCCATCTTGGAGCACTTGAACTGCATTTCCAGCATCTCCTCCACACGTTCAATCATCGCAGACGACTCAGAGAAGAGCAGGATGTCGTCCACATACACCAGGAGCATGAGAAACCGCTCCTTCTCTTGTAGCAGGAACAGGCTGTGGTCACACTCACTCTTCTTGAACCCCCCAGCCAGCAGTGTCTCCTCCAGCTTGTGGTACCATGCGCGAGGAGCCTGCTTCAGGCCATAGATGGCCTTCTTCAGCCTGCACACCCTGCCGCTCCCATCATCCAACCCCTCAGGCTGCAGCATGTACAGCTCCTCCAGAATGATTCCATTGAGGAAGGCAGTGATTATGTCCATCTGCTTGATCTTCCAGCCACGGTTTGCAGCCATTGCCAGCATCGTCCTCAGTGTAGTGCCTTTCCCCACAGGAGCAAAGATATCATCAAAATCCTTCCCCTTTGTCTGCTGGAACCCCTTAGCCACAAGCCTTGACTTGTAGCGGGTCAGCTCCCCATCAGGTCCGTACTTGTGCCTGAAAATCAGCTTGGAAGAAATGGCCTTCTGCCCTGGAGGCAGCTCACACAGCTCCCACGTCTCGTTTTCCAGCAGAGAGTCATACTCCTCCTTCACACTCTGCTTCCACTTCTCAGCATCGGGCCCACTCAAGGCCTCGGTAAGTGTCTTGGGCTCAGGGACGGCTGCCAAGTAGCAGTGCGCTATCTCCTCCTCATCACACTGCTCAGCCACACTCCCAGCCCTTACCACACTTGGCTTCCCAAAGCTCGGATAAGTCAGCCGGTTAGGAGGGCGCACATCCCTCCTTGGACGGTCAGCCGGACGTGCGGCACCTTGTGGAGCATCTTGCTGCTGCTGCTGCGGCTGCTGCTGCTGCTGCTGCTGCTCCTCCACCTCAAGTTCTCCCCCATCCTCAGTCACCCCAGAAATCTCCTCCTCTGAGACAGTGACCTGCACTTGCCTCGAAGGCCGCTGCACCTCATCAACCTCAATGATCAGCGGTGTAGTGGGAAGCTTCTGCTGCTGCTGCTTCCACTCCTTGTAGTACAAGGACTCAAGGAACTTCACATCCCTCGACACAGTCAGCTGCTGGCTGGTCAAGTCCCAAATCAGCCAGCCCTTGTGATCCTTAGCAAGCCCCAAGTGCACACCCCATCTCCCAGAAGCTTCCAGTTTTCCCCTCTTCTCCTTAGGCACATGAAACACCACCATGCAGCCGTAGGCTCTCAGCATGTTGACTACTGGTGCACTCCCATACCACTTGGTGTAGGGGACCCATTGCTTGTCCCCCACTGTCGCCAGCACCCGGTTCTTCACAACAGCGACCTGCCGCAGTGCTGTCACCCAAAACGGATCCGGCAGCCCTGCACGCCCAAGGAGAGTGCGAGCACCTTCCTGCAGGGTCCGGTTGAAACGCTCAGCCACGCCGTTCTGCTGAGGGTTGTAGGGCACCGTGAGCTGATGCTGGATCCCCTTCTTCTTCAGCACCGCCTCAAAATCAGCGCCAAGAAACTCTCCCCCATTGTCGGTGCGGATCACCTTGACCTTGTGTCCGCTCTCCCTTTGTGCTCTCGGCATTCACTCCTTAAGAACAGCCGCTGCCACCTCCCCTTTAGTCTTGAGAGGGTAGACCCACACCGCACGTGTGTGGTCGTCCACAATGGTCAAGAAGTAGCGGCTGCCTGAGAGAGAAAGGGCCCTTGTGGGGCCCACCACATCCATGTGCACAAGCGCGAGTGGAACCTTGGCTGGTCCCGTGCTGCTGCTGAAAGGGAACTTGGTGAACTTTGTCTCAAGGCATGTAGGGCAGCTCCCAATCTCCTTCGCTGCCCCCTTCACCTCCAATCCCTTCAAGCTCCCATCCTTCACCAACTTCTGCAGCATAGGAATGTTGATGTGGCACAGCCTCTCATGCCACGTCTCCCAATCGGCCTCACCACTCCCAGACGAAGCCTTTGCCCATGCAGCCGTTGCATCCACACCAGCAAGCACCTCACCATGTGATTGCTGTGGCTGCTGCACCTTCTTGACTGCATCCAGGGCCCCAGCAGTTGGTGCAGTCTCCTCTCCTCCCGCAGTTGCCTTAGCCGCTGCCGCTGCCTTTGCCGTTGCTGGTGGTTTCCCATTCCAAGGGATGATGGGCAGCTGCCACAGGTCCTTGATGCAGCTGCTCTTCTCCTCCAAATCCCACAGCAGCAACTTCCCAAGCTTTGCACGGCAGCTGGTTGGGCCGAACGTAACTTTGGCCTTGCTTTTCTGCAGCCGGCGCACAGAGAGGAGGTTAGCGGACAAACCTTCAACCAACAGCACATTTCCCAGCCCCACAAGCCCCCCATTAGCTCCCATAGCCTTAGCATTCCCCACACCAATCACAGGGAGCAAGGCACCTGAAGCGGCAGCCACAAACTTTATCTTCCCAGGGGGCTTCACCTCATCAAGCAAATCTGCCCGTGGAGTCATGTGACTCGTGCAACCTGAATCGATCACCCAGTGAGTGAGGGGGTGCATCACAACCTTCCCAACCGAACCCACATCACCCCCACTCCCTTGCACATCCTCAACCATGAGGAACATCCCAGGGTCGGCTTTACCTTGTGCACCATCACCTTGTGCACCTGAACCTTGCACAGCACCACCTCGTGCACGTTCACCACTTGGCGGCTTCATGCCTGGAGGCGCCCATCCTTCAGGCCGGCTGAAACACTTGAACCACGGGTGTCCAGCCTTCTTGCAGTACCAGCACGCACCCTCCATTCGGGTGCTCCCCCTGCCACCAGAGCTCCCATGCCCCTCGTTGTAGTCACCTCGGCCTCTTCCTCTGCCAAAGCCTCTCCCACGGCCTCGGCCTCTCCCTCCCCCTCTCCCCCTGCTGCCTCCTGCAGCTCCATACCCCTCAGCAGTTTTGCTGGCAGCACCACCTCCCGTGTAGCGCCTGCGGAAGTCCTCCTGCAGGATCTGCTGCCGTAGCCACTCAGGCGTCCACTTGTCCTGCTGAGCGTTGAGGGTGGGGATGAGGTTGTCCCACGAGTTGTCGAGCACCGAGATGATTTTGGTGCACTGCTGCATCTCCGACACCTTGCTGCCCGCCGCTGCCATCCTCGCATAGGTGTCCTTGATCTTGTCAAGGGCCGGCTTCACATCATCTCCCGGCCGCATGGAGAGGGCAGCCAGCTCCTTCTCCAATACGATCACCATCGGCAGCGTGTTGGGTTGAACCACGTCGCGTAGCAGCTTCCACGCCTTCGGTCCCGAGTCATCGAGCTCCACCAAATCCTTGATGTGCTGGAACATGTCGTTATTGACCGACTGTAGAATCAAGTCGTACAGCACCGCGCTCCGCTCAATCCACTGATCGCGGGCATCTCCTTCTTCGGGCATCTTCTCCTCTCCCATAGCCAATTTCAGCAGCTTATAGCGCTTGAAGGCGCTCCGCATCCGCCCGCTCCATTCCTCGTAGTTGGAGCCATCCAATGCCTCAATCTTGGATGGTGGCGGCTCACTCCTCTTCTCAGCTGCATCTCCACTCCCTTGATTCATCTCCTCTGCTCCCAATCAGAGGTTTCAGCTCCCCCCTTTGCTGGTCACAATGTAGATCCACACAATTTTCACAAGTGTCGGCGCCAACGAAATTTCGGCAGAGTTTCCCCTTAGCGGAAGTCACATCCAACCTCCAGAACTCCACTTAGGCACGCCCACAGGCCATGGTGGGTCTAAGAGGGTCTTCACACTTCAGTAGACTCTCCACAAAGTCCTTAATCAGCTCTGATACCACTTGTTAGAGACTAAGGACGGAGTCTAGAAGCTTAGGAGCCGAAATTATCACAAAATCGTTGGCTTAGAATTCTGGACAGAAACGTCGACTTCACAAGAAACGTTGTCGACAAAGGTGCACCGTTAGAATCCCACGAATTTCGAATATGTTGTAGCCCTAGACCGTGGCTACATTTCTCAATTTGAATCGTATCAAAATATGAAGTATATTACGAGTTATGCTTTTCGGCGCACTAGGGGGTATGCTACCACAGAAATTCAACTCAATCACAATTAACTCACAAGTCCCACAAAAGAACATGAGAGTAGCACTAAACCAGGTAGGAGGGGAAGAGGAGGACGAGAGGGAAGGTCCCAAGGGAGTCCCCAACCAAGGAAACCCCATACCACACAATTCACTTCCCCATAGGCAACAAAGTTTGACCTTTGTCACTTTCCAACCCATGCCATCCACCTCACCCCAACTTGGCCACACTTGCCAACCTGGTTTGGCTTCACCCAACCTCTTGGCAGCATCTACAGTGATGGGTTCGAATTTCCCAACCCCAAAATTCTATACCCCATAATGAGTCAACCCCACAACTTCCAAAGTAGCTGCAACCAAAATATATAAGCATACGAACTCCAATGTTCGTAACTTTCTTGGTTGTGCTCCGATCGCGACGATTCTTGGTTCGTCGGAAAGCTCTTGAGTAGAGGAATCACTTCAGATATCTGCTCAAGCCAAATAGCGTACACACACACACAGAAAATCCAAACCACACAAGACACAAATTTCTTGCACACGCTCACACCACGCATGCAACGCACAAAGACATGATGGGAGGCAGACAGACGTGAATGCATATGGTTGCATCACACAACAGAAAAAAGCAGGGTTACTTCAGCCTCTACCAGTACCGGAGCAGCCATGGCAGGTCGTTAGCCTCGACTTTTTCACAGGACTTCCTTCGACCTCACGGGGGTACGATTCCATCCTCGTAGTGATCGATAAGTTCTCCAAAATGGGTCACTTCATACCGACCAACGCCACAGCTACAGCTGAAGCAACTGCTCGCCTCTTCTTCGACCGCATCATCACCATCCACGGCATCCCTGCTACACTCATTTCAGACAGAGACCCCAAATTCACGAGTAACTTCTGGAAGGAGCTCATGGGATTGCTGGGGACAAAGCTTGCAATGTCTTCAGCATATCACCCCCAGAACGACGGACGGACAGAGCGACTCAATCAGGTGGTTGAACAGTTACTGCGAACAGCTTGCAAAGACGACGTCATCCACTGGGACGCACAGTTACCGACCCTAGAGTTCGCTTACAACAACGCGTCACATGCGGCCACAGGGAAAACTCCTTTCTTCCTGTGTTACGGACGGGAACCACTTACACCACAGCAGCCAACCACGCCGGCACACGTCCAAGCGGCACATGATTTCGTCACCACCATGCAGCAGCTATGGGAGAAGACTCAGCGACGTCTCACCACGATGCAGAACTCCCAGAAGCAGTATGCCGATCGCCAGCGACGTGATCACTCAGTAGCAGTCGGAGATCAGGTGCTTCTTGACGCGAGCAACTTGAACCTGTCTCACCTACCATCCAAACTCCGGCCTCGCTTCTGTGGTCCTTTTCTCGTTGAGGCACAGGTGACACCAATTACATTCTGCTTGCGCTTACCAATGTTGCATACGTGGAAGCTTCACAATGCTTTCCATGTTCAGCTACTGAAAACCTACAAGGACCCCAACCAACAGTTCCAGGGACGGTAGCTACCGCCACCACCACCTGTTCTCATACAGGATGAACCCGAGTACGAAGTAGAGCGCGTTCTCACTCATCGGCGCCGCGGCGGCAAGACCCTCGAGTTCGTGATACGATGGAAGGGATACGACCCCACTGAGGACAGTTGGGTTGCAGAAGCTGATATGGGCAACGCATGCCGTGCTCTCAAGGACTATCTTGTAAAGCAGGGTGTACCTCACGCCACCCAGCTTTGAGGGGGTTACGTGTGAGAGTACGACGGCTAATGCCAGCTATGCTTGCTTGCCTTTACTTAATTATGCTATTTCTAGCATAGGATAATTATATGCATGCATGAATTGCTTGATTTCCTAGGCTAGGTGCTTTCCTATATTCTATTATAGTTATAGCACCGAGCTAGGTTGCGTGCACCGAATTCTGGCTTTTTGGTTGTCACCGAATTGCCTTCTACCGAATTCGGGAAGGATCTGTTCGGGACGCTTCGCGACCCTCAGAACCTTCGCGTAACACCTGGTTACGGGGCCTTGTGTCGAGCCTATATATAGCCTCGTGTTGTACCCAGGTGATCATTCAATTACAATTCTCTTTTCTGAGCTCGATCCTAGATCCTCACATCATCTTCTCTTCTTGGCAACAAGCGTCCTCTCTTCATAACGTGCCTGTGGACTTCCAGGAAGCCATCTCTGCGTCCATGGATGTCTGCCACTGAGAGGAGTACTCACCCGCGATCGCCTCAGCGTAAGAGCGGGGTTGAGGGATGTCAAGTGCATCCGGGTCTCCCTCAGGGCAGAGCAGCATGGATGCGAAATGAGGCAAAGTGGCCGCAAGATACTTAAGCTCAAACTGTCTGTCCTGAAGGACATAACTGCTAAGGGCAGGCTCACCCCCGACGGACGGAGGACATACAGGCTCAGACTCAGTAACAAGACTCGCGACATAGTCAAGACGACTCCTAGAAGCAAAGTAGACTAACTCAGTGACTAGGGCAAACGCAGCAATAGACTCAAAGTCAGGGTCAGTGATGACAGTAGCGAGGATACGAGTGACAGTAGGACTGGCAGCACGAGCAAGGTCGGACTCAGGTTCAGGCACGTCAGGAAGAGAGGACGCCAGAAGAGACGGCAAGGAAACACGCTGTGGAACAGAGGAAGGACGAAGTGCCATAACATGAGTGTCTAGGACAGCAAGAGGATGACGATGCACGACACGACGAGCACGAACAGATGTTAAGGAGTATGGCAGCTCAGTGTAGGGAGAAGGTGTTGTTCAGGATCCGTCACTTTGAGAGCTTACGAGGAACTCATTTCTTAACTAAACGCAAATCCGCTCAGCAGGATTGTGCGCCTTAGGCTTAGGTACCATCTCCAAGTTGAATCAGTTGTTAAGATAGTTTATAGAGAGAGAACCATTCGAAAACGTCCAGCTGTCAAACTTATATGCTATAGTCTCTGTAGGCTGTAGTGGGGTAGTTCATATGGGGTACAAAACTTTAGGGTTTCCTTCTTGTACTCCTCATGCTGCTGAATGCAATCATTCCTTGTTCTTATTCTCACATGGTATCAGAGCAAAATCGTTCCTAAGGCCCACCGAACGTTCCGCCCTGCCCTAACTGATTTGTTTTTTGATTGCCCCTATGGCCGCGCTGCCCTTGCAGCCCGCGTGCTGCCCCTGCGACCGTGCTGACACTGCAGCCGTGCCTGCCCCTGCACCTGTGCCTACCCCTGCAGCCGTGCCTGCCTCTGCAGCCCGTGGCAGCTGCCCGCGCGCCTGCCTCTGCAGCCCGTGGCAGCTGCCCGCGCGCCTGCCTTACTAGCGCGCTGCCACACTGCCCTGCCCGTGCTGCTACTGCTGTTTCTACTGCTTCTGCTGCTGCTACTGCTACTCCTGCTACTGCTGCTCCTGGCGGTGGCCAGATGCAGCTCCAGCGACGTCCGCGTCAGTCCCTCACGCCCCAGCAACTATGTGAGTGGTACGCTAGTTGGGGTTGTAGGGGTGGCCGCGCTGCTACTGCTGCTACTGCGGCTACTACTGCTACTGCTGCTCCTGGCGGTGGCCAGATGCAGCTCCAGCGACGTCCGCGTGAGTCCCTCACGCCCCAGCAGCTTCGTGAGTGGTACGCTAGTTGGGATTGTAGGGGTGACCGCGCTGCTACTTCTGCTACTGCTGCTACTGCTGTCACTGCTGCTACTGCGGCTACTACTGCTACTGCTGCTCCTGGCGGTGGCAGGATGCAGCTCCAGCGACGTCCGCGTGAGTCCCTCACGCCCCAACAGCTTAGTGAGTGGTACGCTAGTTGGGGTTGTAGGGGTGGCCGTGGTGGGAGTCGCCCTGGAGCGGGTTGTTCGGGAGCTTCTTGTAGTGACCAGGTGCAGCTGCAGCAGCGTCCCCGCGCGGTCCTTTCGCCCCAGCAGCTTCGTGAGTGGTACGCTCAGAATGGAGGGTCACGGAGTACTGCTCGCTGCCCGTACGTCATTCGCACTAGTGCTCGGGCTGGTCAGCCTTGCGGGACGATTGTTCACACAGAGTCCCGCTGCTTCTCCCGTCTGAGCGACGCCTGGCGTACAGAGTTTGGCGATGCGGCTGAGCTCCCCGACTGGGTGGAGCTGCTTAGGCAGAGGGTAGATATCTTTGCTCTTGACTATGATGCTATCCTCACTGCCATGTATGCATTGCCTACTAGTGCTGAGGGTGCCTGTTACCTGTGCGTGATGCCTGACCCAGGTATAGAGTCTGCTGCTCTAGGTGCTAGTGAGGCTGCTGCTCTAGGTGCTGGTGCGTCTCCTGCTCCAGGTGCCGGTGAGGCTGCTGCTCTAGGCGCTAGGGAGTCCACTCCTCCAGGTGCTGGTGAGTCTGCTCTCTCTGGTACTACGCCCGCTGCGGCCTTGCACACTTTCACCCTTGACTCGGGTGCTTCCCGCTCCTTCTTTCGCGACTGCACTACACTCTCGCCGCTCAGTCGGCCAGTGGCAGTCTCTCTGGCTGACCCCTCTGGGGGTCCGGTCCTT